ATACTTCAAAGGGCCCATATCATGGAAAACATCCTTTTTTTTAATAAAAGAGCTCGATGTAGCGTGTAAACATTGATAAAGTTTCGAATGTCACTCTTTGTTGATTTCCTAAATGAGAATAAGTTAACACGCCCTCTACAGAGAACGCACTTCTGCACATTTTAATACAAAATTTAACTATTGGGGTGGGTGGAGGGAGGTGGGGGCATAAAATGTGGCCTGTGCAAAAGTTATGCCTCATGTAGTATTTCATATAAATATAAAATATAATTTTTCTTTCTAATATTTCAATTTTATTTTGAAATCATTAAAATTGTGCTCTAAAATTAGAAGAAATTTGTCATATTTATGTGTGTACTTTGTGTGTGTAATAATAATAATAATAATAATTTTTATTTATATAGCACTTTTCATGCCGGTGGCAGCTCAAAGAGTTTAACAGACAGGTGAAGTTAAACAGCAATACAAGAAATTATAAGTATTACTTTAGAATCATAAGTGTGAAGTTATTTTCACTTAGAAAATAAAAAAAAATAATAATAACAATAAATCAAATGTCATTTGTTCAAACTTTTGTATACGACTGTATCTTCCAGACCATACAGTCCATATATGGAAAGCCTGTTTTGAAGTCATTGTTTTTGTGATATCGCAAAAACCAACACATATTTGGCTATTCAGCCTATAGCTGTTAAGCCCCGCCCATTCATGCTGACGCCATAGGGAGTGTTTGAGCCATTTTAAACAAAGCACAATACAGGGCAGCAAATCAAAACAGGGCTCGTTTACATATATCAGTGTTAATTGGACTGTAACATCAACATAAACAAGCAAAGTGTTATTACACACTTCTATAACATAAGAATAGCTACATTAGTTTGCATTGAAGTCCCTGTAGTTACTGAATAATAAGCCTTAGTATGTAAAAAGCCTGCGATTTTAAGGGGTTAATTATAAAAATGGACCACGGCTCTTTGTGATACAGTGTTTTGAGTGGACACATGTAGGATATTGGCCCCTTAACGTAAATAAAAGAGTAATCTTTGTTTGATACCTGTTATACCTGCGAGCCTCAAAGCAAAGTGATAATTGTTTATGTAGGCTTCTGAGTGTGATTAATTAACAATGATTCACTGATACTTATAGACTTATTGACATGTAATATGGTTTACTGTATGTATTTAACAGTTAAATGTCTAAGCAGAGTTTTACCCATAATCGGGTGTTATTGATGAAATGACTAATAAAAACCCATGATTTGTTCTAGGGATGAAGAAAGAACAGATAAAACTGTAAAAACCAAAGTGCATTCAGGTGAAATGTGTAGATTATGGCTCAATTTAAGCGGATTTAGCAATATTAGAACAGTTTTCTAACAACCAGATAAAAAAAATGCTAGTTTATTTCATAAGATTTAAACACAAACACTAAACTCCCTCATTAGATCACTACATAGTTCAGTGCTTAGTACGTTCACTGGTGCATTATAGTCATACATGAAGTGAAACACTCCACTGATCCACCAAATACACCACATAATCACCTGAGCTCAGCTTGATTGTGTATTCACAAAGATCATTTTCCTCTACATTAAAGTTTCTCTCAGACACAGTCTCAGTTAATGATGAGAGGAAATCAGGAGGGTAAAAGCCGAAATGTGAAATTTTCAACAAATAATTTTCACCACTAGGTGACACTAACAGGTTTCATCTGGCAAACTCTTTCTCAAAGATCTGTTGAGCTAAACTGTAAACACATGTTTCACTGTGACATCTCCCTCCTGAAATGTGCGAAAGTAACAAAAAAATATCTGAGATATCTGAGAACCTTCTTCATCTCTGAGCTAGAGCATGTTCTCTACATACATTTCACCATTTAAGCTTACTGTCGAGTTCATTTAGAGTTCTGTTTATTACTATAATACAGTATATCATAATGTGGTTATATTTAAAGCTGGCTATATTTCTTACTCTGCAGATAGTTGCCTACAGAAAACAGCCCAGCTTAGTAAAGCTAAACATCCCCCCAAAAAAGAAACGTCTGAATTTTTCTGGACCCAGAACACTGAAAAGTACAGGAGAGCTTTAGTTTTTATGTTTAAAAAACATATGATGAGAAAAAGCAGTGATATAGAATAAGAATTTCTAGACTAGAAATCTAAAGACGCTGTTAATTAAAAGACCAAGTGATCCAGTGGTAGACAGTGTTTCCCAGCTAGCAAGCAAACACCTGATTTCAGTTCAGTTCAGTTTTAGTTATAAGGTGCTTTCAGATGTTTCAGATGTCCCAAAGCAGCTTGTCCAGAAATGTGAGTGAAGCCCCCTGAACAGCATCACAGAGAGAGAGAGTGACAGTGTCAGGAGAAGAGCAGGAGGAAGAACAGCTGAGAGGAACCAGGACTCAAAAGGACAACCTTCTTAGAAGTATGAGGAAGAACCACTAAGAGGAACCAAGGCTGAAAAGGGGAAACCCTCTAACAGCACAAGGAAGAACCACCGGGAGGAACAAGTCAGATGGGGAGCTTTCTTAACAGCAGAGGAAGAGGAAGAACCACTAAGAACCAAGCTTCTTAAGAGCATGAGAAAGAACCACTCAAAGAACCAAGACTCAGATGGAGAACATCCTTAAGAGCATGAGGAAGAACCACTGAGAGGAACCAAGACTTAACAGGGAGAAACGCCTAAGAGCATGACAATAAAATCAAAATGAGAACCTTCCTAAGAGCATAAGAAAGAACCACTGAAGGGAACCTAGACTCAACAAGAGAACCTCCTTAAGAACATGAGGAAGAACCAGTTATCTTAACTATCTTGCACTCCTGTTAGTGAATTAACTATCACACCTTGAATTGTTTCGTTCTCACACCGAAATCTTGATTAATTATCTTGTTCCCACGCTTTCTTAAGCTGGGGGAACAATTTAATGATCTCGTTCTCCTTACTAAGATGAGTCACAGTTAATTATCTTGTTCCCATGCCTTACTAAGACAGGGCCACAGCTTCATTATTCATTCATTCATTCATCATCTAAACCGCTTATCCTTCTGGGTCGCGGTGGGGTGCTGGAGCCTATCCCAGCTGTCATTGGGTGGAAGGCAGGATACACCCTGGACAGGTCGCCAGTCCATCGCAGGGCCACAACTTCATTATCCACTATTTAATTATTTCCTTCCATTTCTTACTAAGTCATGGCCACCACTTCAGTATCCTGTTCCCATGCCTTACTAAGACAAGGCCACAATTTAATTATCTTGTTCCCATGCATTACTAAGTTGGGGCCACAATCTAATTATGTAATTTCCAAGCTTTACTACATCAGGGCCACAATTTAATCATCTCATTCCCACACTTTACACTCAGGTTCACTATTTAATTATCTCGTTCCCAAGCCTTATTAAGTCACAGCCACAATTGAATTGTCTTGTTCCCATGCCTTGCTAAGTCAGGCCCACCATTTAATTACCTTTTTTTTTAATTAATTAATTAATTAATAAAGAAGGGGCCCCATATTGGAGTTACCTGAAAAACTTCATTAAAGTTTAGTAATGGTTAAATGTTTAAAGTGTCCAAATACTTGTTAGGACACTGTATGACTATTTGTAGTGATATGAAAGTGAAAATGTGGAAGCAGTTAAGTATTATAAAAAAGAAACACATTTGGATTGTTTCACATAAATTGTATTTTTTAACCCTTTTATCAAAATCATGAGAGAAGTTGAGAGATGAGATTCTTAGTGATGGTGGACTGCATTATTTTGCACTTCAGATTAGGGTAATGTGACAATATACACACCGATCAGGCATAACATTATGACCACCTCCTTGTTTCTACGCTCATTGTCCATTTTATCAGCTCCACTTACTATATAGGTGCACTTTGTAGTTCTACAGTTACAGACTGTAGTCCATCTGATTCTCTGCATACTTTGTTAGCCCACTTTTACCCTGTTCTTCAGTGTTCAGGACCCCCATGGACCCTCACAGAGCAGGTACTGTTTGGGTGGTGGATCATCCTCAGCACTGCAGTAACACTGACGTGGTGGTGGTGTGTTAGTGTGTGTTGCGCTGGTCTGAGTGGATCAGACACAGCAGTGCTGCTGGAGGTTTTATACACCTCAGTGTCACTGCTGGACTGAGAATAGTCCACCAACCAAAAACATCCACCCAACAGCGTCCTGTGGGCAGCGTCCTGTGACCACTGATGGAGGACTAGAGGATGACCAACACAAACTGCAGCAGCAGATGAGCTACAGTCTCTGACTTTACATCTACAAGGTGGACCAACAAGGTAGGAGTGTCTAATAGAGTGGACAGTGAGTGGACACAGTGTTTAAAACTCCAGCAGCACTGCTGTGTCTGATCCACTCAGACCAGCGCAACACACACTAACACACCACCACCACATCAGTGTTACTGCAGTGCTGAGGATGATCCACCACCCAAACAGTACCTGCTCTGTGAGGGTCCATGGGGGTCCTGAACACTGAAGAACAGGGTAAAAGTGGGCTAACAAAGTATGCAGAGAATCAGATGGACTACAGTCTGTAACTGTAGAACTACAAAGTGCACCTATATAGTAAGTGGAGCTGATAAAATGGACATTGAATAGATTGTTATCATGATAAATTATATCGTCAGTGCTTGTAGGCCAGAACTACACCTTTCATTAGTGTTTAACTGGATTTAGCGCAACTCAGTATGCCAAATACTGAATAACAAACATAATTTTTTTAATGTTATTTTTTCCTCAGTTTAAACTGATTAGATGTATGAAAAAATGTATTATCGTGACATATCGTGTATCGTGAAAATGCTTGCAATATCGCGATATTATATTTTGCTATATCGCCCCACCTCTATTTCAGACAGGCCCGTGACAGCCAAAAAATGGCTTTATTACATTTTTATGTATTTTACGGTCACCTCGGACTGCTGATGACATAAACAAGGCGTCCAGTAAAGCATAATTCATGAAATATGACTAAAATAAGCTCCTATTTTGAAGCTGACCGGTTTTAAAACTCGACCTGGTTGAACTGTTCTAGAAGTTTTACCCACGATCCCCTGCGTGCTCGACATGGAGGAACTGACGGTGGAGGTTCGTGGCTCCAATGGAGCTTATTACAAGGTAAAATGCCATTTTACGGTTTATTTTTGTACAGTTGTGATGGTGATTTATTGTTAAGATGCATACGAGTCCAAACTAGTCCGAGTTTAACTCGAACCGGGCTGTCTGGGGCTTTTTCGGCGCTGTTTGGGACTCATCGGTTGCTACGCTAACGTGTTCAGGGGTCTTTTAAACAAATACGTAAACAAACAGGAGGAAAACGAAGAGCCACAGCTCATTTCTCGTGCTTGTCGGACGTGTTTCTTTCAATATCGATCGTTTTTAGAGCTTAATGTACTTTAAACGATGCCTCAGACCGCCGGTGTGTCTCAGCTAGCCGATTTAGCAACAAGCTAATTGATGCTAAGTGGCTAGCCTCATCAGTTCAGCGCTTTAAAAGAATATTTACGCTTTGTTTATGATTTTACAGCCATTATGTGGTCGTAAAGAGGCAAAGAGGTGGTATGAGACCACTGGAAATGTTTTTTAAAGAACCTGGCAGCTTTAATTTGAAGCTGAAGTCAGCTTGGAGAGCTCTTATAGGAGTTGCAGTTAGCTTTAGCCAAAAAGCTTGCTATAGTTTTCGCTGATGTGCTGTTATTGTTTATTAGGCTATGAAATGTGGCTGAGGATCAGTTCACTTATGCTATAAAATCACTACTGTGGTATTAGTAAGCTCCAGTGTTCAGGTTTTCATAAAGCAGTGTGTACTGGATCATTTCAGTACATATCTGCCTCTCTCTCATCTACACCTCAGGTTTATTTTAGGCTTTATGTGGCAGACCAGGCTGCTAAAGTTATTATTCTGCCCTTCCATCATCCAAAAGTTATCCCATGCATGCCTCACTGGCCCATTCCTATCTCACTGCATAGCAGCTGTTCTCTTTGGATCACTGGCTGTCATCAGCTCCAGCAGATATTTGTGAAGCCACTTCTATTTTTGAGTTGCTGTGTTGAGATACTGACTCCCAGCTCCATAGACACTTCTGATGAACGGTGCTCAGGAGTCACAGATTAAAAGCTGCCCCCCTTACACTTATTTAGGTTGTTTTAGTGCTGGGAAACTCTTTTTCTCTTGCGCAGAATTATGGTTGTGAATGCTTAAATGTGTCACATTTTTAAGGGATGTTTTGGATTGTTACGCCGGCAGCTTTCAGTTCATTTCACCTGTTTCATTTCTGAAGCAGCTAGTCAAAAGCAAAACTGGGCTAAGCAGAGAAAACAAAACCGAAACTTAAAGCAGACATTATACTTTTATAAGGGGAATACCACTTTTTTTTTTTCAAAATGTCTGAATAATGCAGTGATTGAGATGTAAACAAAGTCTTTCACAGTGCTTTGATGTGAAAAGGTACCTTGTAGAGAGAGACTGACTCAGTTTCTTTACAGTCGTGGTGACAGGAACCAGGGGTCGTCATGACTTCAACACAAATATAGACATTTTATTTGCTATCCAAAACCACCAGTGAACCTACACGAGTCTTGTGAGTTTATATGGAATGTTGATGATGGAAAAATTGGAAAAAAATGGTACTATTTTTGCCTCACACCACCCTGCATATGACCCTTAGCCATTACCAGATAAATACATTTCAAGCCGAGATCTTCTCAAAACTGACGTAAAACAATGTCTCAGACTTCGGGCAGTGTATTCATAACTGTGAGGGAGCTTTTAGAGGACGTCTGGTTCCTGTCACCACCACTGTGAACAATTCTGACTCTGTAAGTTTCTTTAGGAGGGAGCATTTCACACCAAACCACTTTAAAAGACTCTGTTTACATCTTGACCATTTAATTAAGCACAACATTTTGAAAAAATGGTTGAATTCCCCTTCTTTGAAATCTATTCACATGAGCTGTTGTTGTGAAACAAAAGTGTAGGCTGATCAGGTCACCACTAAATGGCAAAGTTGGCAAGGTGTACTTTTCAGAAAATGCCCAAATGTCGTGTGTATTTTCGTCTGTATTCGGCCCTTTATTAATTTTACACCGCAAACATTGAACAATTCAGGATGTGGACAAAAATTATCACTTTTCACCACACATTGAAATTGACAGTGGACTATGCTAACAGTAATAGAGCAGTGCGACATCAAAGTACAACTTATTGTAAGCATACTTTTGTTTTTTATGTAATTGTATGGAACTGAACATATAACACTATACATGACCTTGTGCTTTGCCAGGGCTTCGTCAAAGACGTTCATGATGATTCGCTCTCCATTTCATTTGAAAACAAGTAAGTACAGGCTAATGCTCACACTCATGACCGTTCTCCTCCAAAATGTGTACAGCGCCTTTCTAAAAATTAACATTGTTTGTTTTAAGCTGGCAACCAGAAAGACAAGTTCCGTTCAGCGATGTCCGTTTGCCGCCTCCCGCTGATAGCAAGAATGACATCGGTGAAGGAGAAGAAGTGGAGGTGAGTAGCTTTAATACACCACTGAACATTAGGGATGGGCAATATTAGGCTTTGTTATTTATTACAATTCATTATGAGCTCACGGCATGTATTGTTAATATTTTGGAACACTTGCCAACTGTATCCTACATTTAGGTTTAGACCGATTGTAGAGTGCCTGTAAATAACAACTAGCGGTCACTTCGTCACATTCACCCCTGAAATGGCCCGAACTTCTGTAACCTTAGAATAACTCAGGCAGGTTGTATTGCAATCCATGTAATTACTGAATAATAAGCCTGGAAATTTAAGGGGTTAGTAGCATATAACAAAGAGCTCATTGGATTTTAGCCAGTTATGCCATTATCTTTATTTATTTCTTACAAATCGTTTGATTTTACCTGCTGTTACATATTGTTAAATATATATAAACACCATTCTATTTGTAGACTTGCAGTTTATTTATTTTTTTAAAGTGCTGGTGCATTTTGTCCATTTGAGTTTAAAAAAAAAAAGCCGTAGAGAAACAAAACATTGTGAACACAGATATAATATATAATAAAGATACCTTCAAGTATAGTGTTATGTTAAATAAAAATATTAGATTTTTTCAAATTGCCAATGTGAGAAATAAATCCTATGCTCTGAAAAAGCATGCGCATATATATATATATATATATATAATATTTTATATTTTGTGATCTCAGGTCTACTCCAGAGCGAATGAACAGGAGCCGTGCGGCTGGTGGCTCGCGAAAGTGCGAATGATGAAGGGAGATGTGAGTATGCAGCTAAACTGCCCAGGCTTTCAGTTTCCATTTCTTCCACATCCTCTGCGGTCTGTCGGTTTAACTTTTGCTTTCCTTTCTGCACAGTTCTATGTGATCGAGTACGCTGCATGTGATGCAACGTACAACGAAATCGTCACTCTCGAGCGCCTCCGGCCGGTGAACCTCAACACAGCCGTCACGAAGAACACCTTCTACAAGTGCACTGTTCCTGTACCCGATGACCTGAAGGCTGCGTAAGTGCAGACAGCGTCTAAACAGTGTGCTCGCGCTTTCTGTTTCTCACAAGGGGTGTAATGAAGCATGTAATTTAATTTTTAGCCTTTATTTATTTATTTGCTGATTTATTTCATTGTCTTGATTCAGCAGAGCTCTAATTCTATACTGCACAGGTTAATAAAAGTTCTCCACTAGAACTTTTTTAGCGTGTGCTGCACTGGCACTCTGCATGGAGTGAATGGCTTTGTTTTCATTCCGGCACTTATGTTAACAGGTCAGCGCTTGCACACAGGCAGAGCGTCCTGTACGCCACAATGAAGCGGTGCAAGATTTTAGAGAACAGACCAGGCAAATCGTGTGCCACGTGTGTCACGCAGCAAAATACACTGGAATAAACCATGAAAATTAACCAGAAAACCATATAAAACTTAAATGCTATTTTTTTTTAGTTAATGTAATTCATGATGAAATACACTTAAACGTTCTGTGCTGCAAACAGATTTCCTGGTTGGTCTACCAGCCTTGAAACTTTTTCCTCATCACAAGTCAGAGCTGACGAGGATAAACAAACATACAATGCACTTTTATAAATCATATTTCTATTTAGCAGAAAGACTGTGACCATTTATCCATCTGGAAAAAGGAATGTCTGTATTACTTTCTCTTGTTGCTCCGCTCCGCAGCACAAATGCTGTATGTAAGAAAGGCTAGCGTGTTAGAATCGGGCGTAACAGTGTATTTACATTACAGTTTGGTGATTTTCACCTCTCATTCATTTCTGTGAACGCAAGCTACTGTTGTTTGTGAGGGATTGTGGCAGTGAAGCACGTGGATGAAACGATTAAAAAAAAAAATTAAGCTCATTTTTGAGTGAGTTTCGCCGAGTGCCAGTCAGAGTGTGGTGGTGCTTTAAACCGTGTCACGTCCACATTCAAAGTACGTGCTGAAGTCAGAGTTAAGTGGTCCTGTGCAGTGCATTAAGTTTCTCTTAAAATCTGTCTTTTATAGATGTGTGAACGAACTCGCACACAAGGACTTCAAAAAGGCCGTTGGGGCGAGCCGGATAGTTTACAGCCCGGAGGCTAGCCAGCTGGTCATACTGGTAGGTCCCTTTCTTTTCAATTAAATAAGCACTACTGATCAATAATACACATAAAATTCTCAGAGAATCAGCAGTTATTAGTTGGAGATGTGCAAGATGATAATGCAGTTTTGTGAAATATGGCTGTGCATAAACAATTTTTGCCACATGAAGTCGGGTTCCCAGACATGGATTAAGCCTAGTCTTAACTAAATTGCAGTGTCAGTGGTGAATCACCATTGAAAATACTTTAGACTTAATCTGGGTCTGGGAAATGGGCCCATACTATTTTTGTAGAAGTGTCTTGAGTCTTACCAGTATGAGCCGCTGACTCAAGCCACCAGAAAATGATTAGCAGCGAGCGGCAGAGGCGCTGAACGGTAGAACATTCCCTAAAACCGTGACAGCCAGCTTCTAATTATCTGTTTAGGAGGTCCATATTCGATATAACCCAAGTCCTGATTTCTTAGATGCACTGAATTCCGAATGAGTAAAGTGACTGTTAATCAGGGTTTTACTGCAGTGGCTCTAAATCCTCATGTTCTGCAAGCTGCTCATGGCACTTACCGGCAGCCATATGGACACTTGCAAGAATCCTTGCTTAATCGGTCCTTCAGGTCACCTAATCTGACGTTGAACGTTATCAATAAATATGCTAACATTTATGTGCTAACAGCTTTGTGGGGTGGTGCTGGGGGTGTTTAGGTCAGCGCGTGAGTGTGGTTATCTCCTGGCTCTGGGCTCCTATGCTTTCATATTCGTACTGCGCAGCACAAGCAGGCGTCATCAGGGTGTGGTAATGTTGGTTAACTTATTTGCATAATGTGATGGGTCATCGTACTTTGGTACTAAGACGCGTCATACGTGCCTTGAACCAGAGGGGCACTGCAGAGGCGGAACTGACCACGATAAAAATATTCTTTTCACAGTTTGGAAAGATGTGTTCACATTTCAAGCAAGGCTGGTATATTTTATTATTACAGAGTAGTGCATTAGAACATGGGAGGGAGTGTGTTATTGCGCAATAACATCACAGCTGTGATTTGGTTGAAGACACAATAACACACTCCTCGAGTGTTCTATTGCTTTTATACAAGTTAAATAAATAAAGTAATAAATTAATAAACTGGGCCGTGAACGCGGCGTTTAATATGTTTTAATGTTCGCAGTTCCTTCACCAAATTATAGTTCCTTAACGAGCAGCTCGTTGCTACGTCAGAGTAACGAGCTCCGCCCACTCGCTGCACAGTCTGCTGTAAGCCTCGCCTTCTGAAGGTCGGACTGAGCCATAAAACTGCCGCAATATCAAGTTCAGCTCAGTTTTGTCAGTTTGTGCCAGATCAGTATTAATGTTGTTTTGTTCCAGCGAGTCTGTAAAGCATCTTACAGCCCGTTTAGTTTGGCGAATGGTGTTGGGTTCATTTCTGGCTGATTCCAGGTTGTTCAGCTGTTCTTCTGTCACAGCTGCCGACTGAAAAGCTGCTCAGTGGTGATGACAGTTTGGGGATTTAGTGTCGTCTCATCTTCAGAGTCTGACCAAATCGGCTGTCGGTCAAATGTGATCTAAAAAGTGTCCATTTTCTGTTTGTGGCAAAATAAGAAGTAAAAACGTTCAAATGTCTTGAGCGTCTCCTACAGCTGTCAAAGTCGTTGTTTAGCAACGGCGTGTCAGCGGAGTGATACAGTGTTTGTGAAAAAAAAACATGCTGATATGGTGAAATAACAGCACAGTTAGAACGCTTCTCAGCCAGTCAGCTTGCATGGCTGGAAATAACTGTTGTATAATAGATTACTATTACGTGTTGAAGGATCTGTGTATTGAGCCAGTTTTTGTAATAATAAAAGCTCTTATGTGATAAAGAATGTGAATGTTTTGCTCTTCTTGCCTTTAATAGTCTGTAAGTGAAGCCACAGTGAAGAGAGTTTCTCTGCTGAGTGATATGCACTTAAGAAGCATCCGCACGAAGCTCATGCTCGTGTACAGGAACGAGGAAGCCACAAAGCACTTGGAGGTAACGTGGTTAACACCGCTGCTCGCTTTTATGATGATAATTTTCAGACATGGAGAGTCACAAGCAGTCTAGCGACACGCTGAAGGATAACATGCAGTCTTAAAAAGATGGCTCTTCATGGGTTCTTTAGTGACGAAAATGGTTCTACATAGAACCAAGAATGCTCAAAGAACCCTTTGCATCATGAAATGGTTCTTCAGATTGATGGAGAACATGGTTTCTATATAGAAGCATTTTAAAAATTGCTTGTAACTTTAGAAGAACACTTTTGGGTGTTATATAGAACCCTTTTTCAAAAAGGATCGATATAGAACCATCTATAGCACGTTCATGCATGTTTTCCATCAATCTGAAGAACCCTTTCATGATGCACAGAACCCTTTAATCATGCAAAGGATTCTTTGACTGTACTTGGTTCTATATAGAACCATTTTCTTTACTAAAGAGTGTAGCCTATACACTCTCAGAAATAAAGGTACTAATCTGTCTCTGGGTCAGTGCCCCTCTTGTCACTGAGGTGGAACCCTCAAGGCTCCATCTCAGTACCTTTAGTCAGGGAACATAACTGTACCATAATCCACTGAAATGATATGTTCTAAGCTGTACTGACTCCACACACCCCGTCTCGTCTCCAGGCTTTTATTTTACTGTTCTGTTTAAAACATTCGGTTATGAAAAGGTACAAATACGAACTTTTCACCTGGAAAAACTTATTTAAGGTTCACAATCAGACCTTAAAACCACTGTTTTGAGAGAACATTTACACTGTTTGTACCTTGATGAAGGAAAAATGTACCTGAACAGAACCTTTATTTCTGACAGTGTAGAATATACTGCTTTTATCTAGATTTTAGCATTGGTGGTTGTTAAATACATTTTTCTCTATGTTATGAATAATATTAATACTCGAGTATTTCTTTCTTTGTGTGGTATTTGGAAGCTTCAACTTTTATTAACCCTTTAGACCCTGACAGAAGTCTAGAACCCTGATTTTTCACTGTTTTATTACAAACATTTTATCAAACATTGGTAATTAGCCAACAGTGGATGTGATATTTATTCTGTAAAATCATGTTACTCCCAGCTAACGTTAGCTAAAGGCTGAGCACAGCCACACTACCCACTACGATTTCAGTGTCCTCCCGTTTCTTTGAAGCACTGACTTTTTAAACAAAGAGAAATCTTTAAACAAAGGGAAGTGACATTCAGCTGAAGAGGCTCAGTGTCCTCGGCCACTTATTTAGCCGCTGTGGAGCTGAGAGATGGAGACGAGCAGAGACTGAAGGCTAGTACAGGAATCGCTTTAGCTGATTCCTGTTTGACATGAACTGTACAAACTTGGTATAAAACACCGAAATTACTCAAAGAGTCGTGTATCCCGAGTGAGATTTGTGTCCGTCTGTTTACGCTCATCAGACTGGCTCTGTACGTGGCAAAACGTTGCAGCACATCTGTCTGCGTTATTGGGATGTCCAAATAAAACAATATAAAATGAATGAACACACTTAAAATGGATTCATTATGAAATTAAATTGTTCTTTTTAGGTGTTATTTTGAGAACAAACCTTTTTTTATTTCGATTCAGGGTGACCCTCATTTACAGTGTAGCTGAGCAAATTACACAGGATTGAAAATGTTGGGGAAAATATATATATATATATATATATATATATATATATATGTATGTGTGTGTGTGTGTGTGTGTGTATATATATATATATATATACACACACACATTGCACATGGAATATTGTATATGAATAATTGATTATATTGCTCATGGGGATGGTGATGAATTAACTATATAATACATACGTTATATATAGATTACAAATAAAAAAGCAAAAAAATCTTGAAGTATTTACCAATATGTGTAGTGTCGGCCCTATTATGTTTGCTTGAATTGCAGTGTAATTCTTGTGATGTAAATGTCCAAGTTGACAAGCGATGATGTTATTACAGGGGGGGTGAAATGTTAGGAACCCAAATACTTATAAGACGCGTAATATTTGATTGACTTACTTACTGTAAAGATTGAAAAAATGAATATAAACTGTCGATACACCACTCGCTCTGTCCTAAGTGTTTCTCATTTACTGTCTCTGATCAAAACTAGGCATCTGGGTGCAGCTTATCAGGGGTTATTCTCACATCACGCTGTACTTTTTTCTGAAGAGTTTATAATTTTTTATTTTTTATTTTTGTGGCTTATTTTACTAGACAGGCATCTAAAAAGTTGTGCTTGAAGATAAGATTAACCTTTATTGGTCCCACAGCGGGAAAATTCACAGGGCTACAGCAGCAAAGGGATGGCAAGGCACTCAAGAAAAGAAGTAACAAGAGAATTTACGAAGAAAGTAATTAACCTATAATTAACAGTTTATTACAGTTTGTTACTTGTTACTGTATAGACAGTATATATAATACTAAGCATACAAAAATATAAAGTTATAAACTGTCATTCACCAAATTGACAATGTAAATATAAATAGAAAATCATTATAAGAATATTTTACACACATTGCACATGGAATATTGTACATGAATAATTGATTATATTGCTCATGGGGATGGTGATGAATTAACTGTATAATACATACGTTATATATATATATATATATAATATATAAAAAAGCAAAAAAATCTTGAAGTATTTACCAGTATGTGTAGTGTATATGATCAGTGTTCTGTAGAATTAAGACATTTTTAGGACATTAAATATGAAAAATCGTATTGTCATTACATCGCTACCTTTATATATGACATCAGTGGTTTCTGTGACATGTTGCTGCACCCCTCATCTAACAGTTCAAAATGAAGAGTCTTAGATAATTGAGTGGCTCCTGATTTTTGACTGATTTTATTTTATTCTTATTGTGATGTTCAGAGCACAAAGCAGCTCGCCTCAGCCTTCCAAGAGGAGTTCACTGTGAGGGTGGACCTCATGGGCCTTGCCATCGGCAGCCACGGCAGCAACATCCAGCAGGCCAGGAAAGTGCCAGGAGTAACGGCAATCGAGCTGGATGAAGAAAGCGGTACCTTCAGGATTTACGGCGAGGTGAGCAGGGATAGTGACGAGCCTGTCTGACAGTTTTGCTGGGACTTGTTGCACCACTGAATTGGAATGAAAGATTTTGCCAATCAGATTATAAAGAGAGTTGCTCCACTCAGCTCAGTATAACACTGAAATGTTACTTGATCCAGATGTTTCTTGCATAACTTTTGATTCTGCAGCTGAGTTGGAGCCTTTATAATTCTCTTTTTGCATGTATTGTTCTTCGAAGACATAACAGTAAACTTAACACGTTTTCTATCTGTTTATTTGTATGTGATTCCAGACTGCAGAGGCAGTCCAGAAAGCAAGGAATTACCTAGAATTCCTCGAAGAGTCTGTACAAATTCCTCGGCACTTAGTTGGTACGCATCATTCTTTCGCTTTGTGCTGCAAGAGCTTGTAGAATGATTCTGAATGAACTTCCTTGTAACTCTTTACTGTTCTTTGCAGGCAAGGTAATTGGCAAGAATGGCAAGGTGATTCAGGAGATCGTGGACAAATCTGGAGTGGTCCGGGTACGAATCGAAGGCGACAACGACAACAAACTCCCCAGACAAGAAGTGAGATCTCATTCTTAAAATTGAGCAAAGCAAACACAATTGTAGTATGATGTGCCATTTGTTCACCAGTAGTAACATCCTTTAATCTCGTAACAGGGAATGGTCCCTTTCACGTTTGTCGGCACAAAGGAGAGCATCAGCAACGTGCAGGTTCTTCTGGAGTACCATATTTCTTATCTGAATGTGAGTATTGAGGCTTCGGACCATGCGAGTTGTTAAAGGGCCCATATCCGTTTTTTCTTGGGTGCTGTTTTTTCTCTGATGTCCTCTCACGATTCTGTGGGTTTATATACCAAAAAATGATTATAATTATTTTTTACAACCTATTCATTATCCCTTACACTTAAACATGCTGTTTTTGTTACTGTGCCTTTAAGGCTGATGTATGTAAATGACGTGCACTGATGGGCCTATATTTATAGTTAAAGATAAGTCTAAGCAGAATCACTCATGATAGTAGTCCTTTAGGTAATCTCTAATAGAATTGCTTATGTGTTTTCTGATACTGCATAACATAGTGTTATCTATGAACATGTACTAAAGGAACTATTAGTGATGGGCCGATCCACGTTTTTTCAGTTCCGATCCGATACCCAATTTTACTTTAATATTATCATTATTATTGTTGGTATTGTGTTTTAAGGTTATTTAAGGTGTTTAATCTTCAAATCACTGAGCATGTCTGTAATGAAGGCTGTAGCTGAACTGCTGGTGTGAGACCCTGCGCTTTTTCACGTGACGCACCTCACTCTGTAGTGCATATGTTTCAGAGTGAGACTTGAGGGACACTGGACTCACATCTGAGCTCCAAATATCAGTTGTGAAGCTCATGGCTTTAACATCTAGCTCTCTGCGCCGCTAACAGTGATGGCACCTGGTTGTACAGTTCAGGTATCGCCGTCTCTGAATCTCTGAAACGTATTTTCTGGATGGCGGATCATACCTGGGCTTAAAGTGCTCCAACAGGCTGCGATATCCGCAATTTTCCACTACAGATAGTGTATATATAATGAAAATGTATAATGAAGTTGAGCAACTTCTCTGCGATCCCTTTAGCCTTTGGGTCGTCTGCTGGAAGTGTATTGTGTTTCTGGAAAGCATCAGTGAGAGTTGCTGCCTGGTGGTGTCTTCCTGTCTGTTAGCATGAACTCCCGCTATTCTTATACGTGAAACCTCTGCAGGTGATTAAACTGGTTGTACAACGCAGCCGTACTTCCACCTCTTGGCATGCTGGCTACACAAACATTACAAGTAGCGGTCTTTCCTTTTTGTGTTTTCACATTAAAATATCTCCAAACAAACAACATTTTGTTCAAACCAACATCTATTAAGGTTATTTGCTCACCCAGTTACAGACTGAAGTTGCCACGGGTTCATGGTAAGATGTAGTATGGAATCTGGATTGGTGACTGTCTGTTATGTTACATTACGGCGGGTTCACGGTCCAGCGCAATTTGCGGACTGGAATATGGATCGGTAAGTGGATCGGCCCTGTCTGTCCGATATCCGATGAGTCAAGTGACGTCAATATCAGAACCGATACTGATATAGGATCGGATCAGTCTCATCTCTAGGAACTATATAATGTACTTCTATTTTGTGATGTAGGTATGCACGATGCTAATTGGTGGGATATAAGCTTCCATTATTTGTTAGCTGCGTTAGCCTCATAGCTCCAGTTTTAAACTAAAGAAGCAAACTTCATAAACCAAACTTGCTTGGCCGATTGTGATTACATTTGGGGTAACAGAAGGGAAACTGTGTAATTACTCCTTTAAACAAAGCTGGTCTCAGATCAGCTGAAAGGGCTGGTTTCCTGCAGCGCTGTGTTCGTTTCCCTGCAGGAGGTGGAGCAGCTGAGGATGGAGAGGCTGCAGATTGATGAACAGCTGCGGCAGATCGGGCTGGGCTACCGGCCTGTCCCCGGCCGCCCTGCAGACAAGGACAAGGGCTACAACACAGACGAGAGTTCGTCCAATGCCCCTTTGCACTCCAGCCGCTCCTATGCCGGCAGAGGCCGCGGCCGCAGGGGGGTGAACTACACTTCAGGTTACGGTAACACCTTTTAAGCCTTGGATACACTAGCTTTTACACGATATGCATCACAATATATAGTTTTTCTGAGGTTTGATGAGAGGGATCAGACAAAAAAGAGGCAATAGTGCAACCTTTAAAAAATATGGCTAAAAACTATGAATGCAGTTATTTTTATTCAGGGTTTCACTTCAAATTAAACAAGACTAATTATGCTGTCTCTGTTCGTCTGTCTCATGTGACCTCACTGTTTAACTGTGCCACTATGCTTGTGTTTGGAAGAATCAAAATATGTGCTGTACAGTTTAATGCAAAAATTTCTTAATGTTATTTTTATCTAATATCCCTTCATTTCTCTTTTTCAGTCTCGCTGTAAAGCACTTTGTGAACTTGTGTTAAAAGTGGCTATATATTTAAAATTTGCCCAATAATGCAGTGAAATAATCACGTTCTTTTGTCCATCTTTAGGAACGAACTCTGAGCACTCGTACGCATCTGAGACGGATTCGGAGCGTAAGGACGAGCTGAGTGACTGGTCCCTGGCCGGGGAGGAGCCCGAGAGAGGAGTTCGGCCGCAAAGAGACAGTCGGAGGAGACCCGCGGTGTCCCGGGGCCGTGGAGGACCAGGGGCGAGAGGTCGTGGAACAGGGAGAGGGGCTTCTAGCACCATGAGCTCAGGTAGACATCATGTTTTACAGAGATGTAAAATTTTAGAATCACTTTCAACCAATTATATTTCCTCTTACATAATCCATTGGCCAAAATAGACTTATACACATATAAATAGGCTACTTATTTTCAATATTAAAATAATTTGGGTGTTTTTATTAGGAATGCATCCATTTTTTTCCAGCCTGAGTACAAGTATGTTTTTTAGCACTTACCGATAGCATGACAAACTATCGTTAAATCATTCAAATCTAGCTGATTTTAAATGAAGTGAACTAGCTAGCTGTGCTACATAGTGCTGGAGTGGAGAAGAGCGATTGTTCCACATCAGAAAAGCACTTCTGTACAGCTGTAAGTGAAGTACGATTCATAGTTTTGATGCTCCTCATCTGTTTCTCTCAACATCAGTCTCTGTGGCCCAATGACAGCGGGAGCTGCATCCGAGGAGCTCACTTGTGGAGTTTTATCTTCTGAGAGTCTTTTGTTTGGTTGGTTGAGCTTTAGTTGTATGTCTTCTAAAGCCAGACATAAAGATAAGATAGGATAAGATAATCCTTTATTAGTCCCACAACAGGGAAATTCTCAGTGTTACAGCAGCAAAGGGAGAGCAAGGCACTCAAAAAAAGAAAAGAAGTAACAAGATGAGAATTAACAAGCAAGTAATTAACCTTGTTAATTACTTAAGGTTTTTACAGTTTTTCAGCAGTTTCAAAACTGCGTGACTTTTATAAATCTGTCACTGCACGTTTGAATAGACCATCATGTACAAACAAAGCCTACGATTTATGAACTCACTATATGAAATCGCTCCGTCCGCGCTGCGTTAAATGAAGCCGCCACAGACAGCTGTGTGTATGAACAATTTCAGATAAACCTGTTTCATTCAAAATAACGTGCTGCGCACAGTTGCAGTTAGAAACACTGAGAAACTGAGCAGCATTGCTAACACTGAGCACTGAAGCCAAAAGCAAGCAATGACGTGCGTGGTAGGACAGTACGGTCTCTCTGCAACCTATTTTACAAAGATGGTTTTAAAAAAATCATTTATACCATCCAATTCTGTACAGTCGAACAGAGTAAAGTAGGCATAGGCGGACTTTTGTCCGTTTGGCTGGCCTGTTTGTCTTCACCTGTATTGGGGAAGCGGTTGTGATTGTGTGTGTTTAAAAACAAGCTAAATTGCCAGGGCCACTTATCCACTGCATGGTACTGGCTCGACTTGACTCTGCTCGACTCGCTTTTGGTACCAGCTAGCTTTCCACTGCAGGTACAGAACTGTGTAGCTGGTCGTCGTAGCGACGCCAGACAAAACTGCCGAGACGTGAAGGAGACAAATCTTGTCCAGAAGAGGCTGATGACAGTAAGACAAAAAACTGCTGAAAAAACATGAGAGTTTGGGGAAAAACTACATCAGAGTTCAGACGATGAGACGTCTGGTTGCTCAAAAAAGGCGACGCAATAGGGTACGCTAACCTTGTAGCTAACGTTAGCATATGTGGTTTTTTACGTCACTCTTTGGTATCAGCTCAGCTTGATTGGAACCTCGACGGAGGTGGTAAAAAAGTACCAGGTACCAGTTTTACAGTGGAAAACTAAAAAAGGAGAGTCGTGTCAACTATAAGTGATCAGTGACTTTGCATCCAATGGCCAGGAAGTCAGTGAGTGCGTTTACATGCACTCAGTAATCCGATCATAATTGGATTTCTGCAGTTATCCGATTATTCAAATGGTCATGTAAACACCATCCTCTGATCTAGAAATCCGATTAAGAAATCCAATAAAGAGGCTGAATTTTAGCTCAGTAATCAGATTTCTCAGCGCATGTAAACTCGTACTCTGATTTCTATTGGATTTCTCAGTCTGCGCATGCGCGAGATCAGACGGTGGATATTGCGAGATGGCAGAAAAACACTGTTGGAGCGGCGCTGAAACCAAACACGAAATAAAGGATTTGAATATTCTTCATCTTCTAGATGATGTATGTTCATATTTTCAGGTAAAGTGACTCAATGTTTAAAAAAGCTGCGGTACGAAGTTTGACTTTACATTAGAGTCATTAGAGTCTACTGGCTGGTTGCAAAGTAGAAATCCGATTACTGTCTGACTCATGTAGACCCAGAGTTTCCCATTATGTGATTACTCAAGAGCATGCAAACCTGATTTTCTGCAGTTATCGGACTATTAAATGCATGTAAATGCACTCGGTGGGTCACTCACTGGGTTTGTTCATTAGTGCGGCACTGTACGCTCAGCTTACGTCACAGCGGGTATCAGAATGTTCGTATCGGTGAATTTTACGAGTAAATGAGCACAATATCAACCTGATAACAATATTGGTATCGATGCATCCCTAGTTTTTACTGTCTGTATTCCACTACTGTATGAATAGTTCATCTCATTAATGTATTCAGTGTATTTTTTTTAAAAGATTAATTCTGCACTCGTGAACTGTAGGTGGTGGGTATTCATTGTCTTTCTACAATGAGACGGACTTAATTTTATTTGTATGTGTCCTCATCATTTAAAAGCAACTCCAATAAAAATAAACTCCCGACTTCTGTTTAAATAATGCAGAGCCTTTTTTTTTTTCTACAGTTCTGAGAGATCCTGACCGGAACCCCTACAGTCTGCTGGACAACACGGAGACGGACCAGACGGCGGACACAGACGCCAGTGAGTCTCAGGTGAACACGAGCCGCCGTCGGCGCTCACGCCGCCGTCGCACGGATGAAGACGCCACACTGATCGACGGCATGAGTGAATCAGACAACGCCTCGGTCAGCGAGAACGGCCTCGGTAAGCGTTCGGTCCCCCCGAGCTTTGTGCACGACACCTTCCGAACGTCACTTTACACCACCACGCTGCAGCTGTGCTTTATTACAGTTTTAGATGTACACTCTTAAAAAAAGTGGTGCTTTAAGGGTTCTTTAGTAAAGAAAATGGTTCTGTGTAGAACCATAAACAGACCAAGAACCCTTTAGAAGATAAAAGGGTTCTTTGCATCATGAAAGCGTTCTTCAGATTAAGGGAGAATGTGTTGTAGATGGTTCTATATAGCACCCAATTAGGGTTCTTCTTTTGGGTGCTTTATACAACCTCTCTCAGAAAGGTTCTATGTAGAACCGTCTGTAGCACATTTATGCACATTTTCGATCAATCCGAAAAAGGCTTTCATGATGCGGAGAACTCTTTAATTGTGTAAAGGGTTTTGAGTGTTTGTGGTTCTATATAGAACCATTTTCTTTACTAAAGAACCCTTGAAGCACCTAAATGTAGCTAAATGTACCTAAAACTGTTTTTATACTAGTAGTTTGATCTACTTGATTCAATTGTGATGTAGTTGATTGATCACTAGTTCATAAACTAGTTTAGAGCTGCTCATACCATGCTCTATACCAAATCCTGAATTATATATTTTCCATAGATTCTTTTTAATTGCAAACCAGAAGTGTGTGAGGCTTAAACGAGTAAACATTCTACATTTAAAACAGATGTGCCTGTTAGCTCACAGATGCCAAGACTTAGAACTTAGGTGCTAAAATTTGGTGCCGAATGACAATTGTTTGATCCTGAGTAGCGTCACAACCAAGAGCGTCTCTTTATGCCCAGGGTCTGGACATTTCTAAGTAACTCTAATCTTATCTATACTGTTGCCCTAATACATGTATATAATCTAATGTCTTCAAAAAGAGTTAAAAGAATCAAAGAATATCAACAAAAATGAAAAAGGATAAAAAGGAATGAAAAAGACTTCAGCTGAGTTCTTGTGGAAGGAAGGAAAAGGCCTTCGCTTTATTGAGCATCAAATGGCAGAATGGTTTCCGGTCAACCACACTGCGAATATCATCTCAGAACATCCCTTTTATTCCCCTCTGGGGTGATGAGGTGATCTCCCCAGCCCTTTTACACAATTCCATACCATCTTAGTCCCCATCATGTCCAAACCTTACACCTTTTTTGGTAGCCTTTAAAACCAAACATGTATGATGTCGTTTTTTAAAAACCCACTCTGGTCTGACTCTTACCAGACTGTTCCCTCCTTACAGGACCCTCTTGCGCAGCTCTCCATAGGGCATCTCACACAACCCTTCATATACGTATAAGAGTGTAGCTATAACTTAAACTGTCATCTGGTCCAGCTCCCTTCTGTGAGCCCAGAAAGTTTCCCCTGTTAGAGAGTCTACAGCCCACAGTCCATAGTCTGCTTCCCTATATTACCTTTTTAGGAGGGCTCCAAGCTCTCTAGTCAGACAATGCTTTATTCAGTCTTTTCCATCAGTAGTACTGAAGTAATTAGGTACCATAATGGTATTCAGTTTAGGTACCTAGTTCAGTTCTCAGGTTAGTATGCTGTTTGCTCTTTATAGCTGTTTTTAATGTGTTGAATTTTAGCTGTACGTTTCTGAGCAGTAGTGTGATCCTGTTTTCAGATTTCACATGTTGTGAGTCTGAGTTTTAGTCGGTTTCACTTTCGTATGCTGCAGCTGAGTTGCATAAGTATTTGTTCAGCTGTATATTTTTAAACTAGCACCTCAAGGCTGTGTAAACCGCTATAGTTCTTGGCTCCTGACTAAACTGCACTCGAGAACAGTGGAATGGAAGTTATGAAGTGACTCCTGCTGTGTAGAGTAACAGAGAGGGCCTCTCCCTGTTGTAGATGACTCGGAGGCTAAACCGCAGCGGCGTAACCGTAGCCGCCGTCGCCGCTTCCGCCCTCCGGAGGAGAGGCAGCCAGGTAACAGGTGCACATGGGTGCCAGTGGTATTGACCTGCATGACTTAGTGTGCCTGGAGTGACCCATAACCAGTCCTTAGTCAGAATAGCTCCAGCATGGCCAAATTTCCGGGATCAATAAAGTACATCTGTCTCTGTTTCTCTCTCTAGTGTGGAACAGTTTCAGTATAGTATCGGAAAAAAGGAGTGGTTGAAAGTGTGAAAACTGTACATCTCATGCGTTCCTCGCTCTCTTATGAGCATCTTTGCCCTTCAAAATAAAGTGGGTGGGGATTGGGTGGCTTCCTCCGTGAAGCTGGCCCCCTATATGGTCAGAAATGGAATAAACATACTGATCGTTTGGGCTGGTTTGTGCCGTAGGAATCATCGTTTGTGCTGGCAGTGTTTTTTGAAAAATTAAGCATTATGTTTTATTGTCTAACATTTTTGCTGAATAACTTGAATTAAAATAGCACAAATGTCTATTTTATCAGCACAAACGAATAAAACCATTTTGGTATGATTTGGACGTCAGTGGGGGGCTGAGTGACGACACAGGTAATAATCAATCAACCTTTATTTAACCTCTGAGAACATTGAGGGTGACCCTCATTTACAATGTTGCTGAGTTGATACAGGGAAAATGGATCGATAATGTGTAAGAACATATCAAATAAAAGTAAATTTAATAATAAAAATGACTCAAGTCAGGTAAGTATAAAAAAATGAAACATTTAATAATAAAATACATAAAAAATGAAGAAAACCCTAAAGCAATAATTGAAGCTTAACTAAAATGTTAAAGTTAATAAAATCAAAAGAAGGATAAAAGAAAAGGAGGATAAGATAAATACAGAAAATAATAAAATGATCATAATTAAAACAAAAATATGAATAATAAATAAATAAATGGGGAAAAACATATGAAAGATAAGACAATAATAGTGAAAATCAAGTAAAGCAGTTGCAGGCAGAGTGGAGGTGGTGATATGTTTAATTTGAAAATATAATGTTTAATTTTTCTAAAATGCTGCCGGCAGTGGTTCCTACGGCACAAACCAGCACAAACGCAGCACAAACAAACAGTAGTATTTTTATTTGATTGCTGAGCCCATGGGGGGCCAGCTTCACGGAGGTGCTGAAGGGGTTGTGAGGTTGTGTGGGTATATTTATTTATTTATTTTTTTGTGGGTTACTTTGTTTAAGAGGAGGGATTCCTCACTCTTTGTAATAATAGTAATAATAAATTCTATTTATATAGTGCCAAGGTTGCTTTACAAATCAAATAAAATACAATACACATGCAGAACAGTTAGACACTTAAAAGAGAGGTTAAGACCTGAAAGGGCTCATATCCTACATTTGTCTTGCATTCATTTGTTGTATTTGAGCTCAGTCATGACCTTTGTGTGGTGTAAATTATAGAGGTTGTGATTTTTGTGGATTATTTTGTTAGAGGGTGATGTGCGTGCTTAAAAAACGTTGATTTTATTTTATTTATTTATTTTTTTTTTGGAGGACTCGTATATGAACTACAAATATATTTCTAAGTGTAAAACAGAGCTCAGATAAAACAGATTGATCACATTATCTCTTGTGCCACACTCTTAGTTATGGAGATAACTGGCAAAGCCGATCTGTGTAGTATAGAATTACAGCCCTATAGAATCGAGACACTTTAACACATGAAATATCAAGAACCTAATTAAACCTTGACCTCAGAATCACAAATTGTGTTGCAACTCAGAATGTGAATCATTTTCACCACTATTACAATCGTATGTAAACACCTCCAGTCAGATTACACGTGTTTTTGATTTTCTAGGTAAAAATAATTTAACGCATACAGAGAACACAGTTGAATATAGCATTGTTCTGTAGATTTTAGGGCACAACTTCTGTTTATTTGCTGAGTTTAACAAATTGGAAAAGTCAGTCAAGTCAAGCAAGCCAATATATTTCACCCAATATGTTAAATTAAGTAAATAAACAGAAATTGGGCATTAAAAAGTACAATGTTTGCAATTTTTGCATTGATTGGCAACTGTAAATATCTGTAAACTTTCATGGTTTTAAATTTAGGATTTTAGTTTCTGCGCTTAAGTGTCGTTTTTAATGATGTGCTCATGAACTTTTTTTGGATTAACAGTTAATCTACTAACCGTTTTATGTGTTGAAACCTGATGCACCACAGTTGTGACCAGACTGTAGCCCCAAGCCTGCTTTATCATTAATGGTAACTGGATTGGGTTGAGCTAACTCTGACCGCTTTATTATAGCATGTCCTCCAGAACTGTTTTCTGAATTAAGTGCCTTTTATTAGTGATGTTTAGGTTTTAAATAGGGATTTTTTTGTTTTCTTTGCAGTTACTGTGGCCGATTACATATCACGGGCTGAATCTCAAAGCAGGCAGAGAACACCGAGAGATCTGAAGAAGAATAAAAAAGATTTGGTAGGTCAGAGTTCCTTTGTTCATGATGTGAATTCAGTTCAGTTCAGAATACTTTATTAGTCCCAAAAAGGGCAATTCATTTGCAGCTTTCTCGTCCATACACACGACTGTATACACGCACATACGTCAGAGACACCGAATCCACATACATAGGTAAATGCATAAATAAATAAATCAATGCACGGAGACAACGAATATAACAATCATTTAAAAAAAACTATTATCCGCATTTAGCTTGATAGCAGAAGGAACAAAAGACTTGGAATAGCGAATTTGGTTATAAATAGTATCAAACATTTTAGCAACAGACCAGATGACTTAGAACCTGAAAGACGTTGGAAAGACTGTCTAACGCTGCAGACAGATTTAGTGTTAGTGCTGCAGATCCTAAAGGGTCAAACTCGGGCCTCTGTACGCTCTTCTAATTTAAGCACACAGCACATCTGAGTTACAGACCAGTTAAAACGATTTCTAAAAACCAGATTTTATTTTAAATGTACAGTTCTTTGCAAAAGTTTGAACACCCCTGGTCACATTCCATGTTTTGTTGATTTTCTAAATAAAAATAAGTTAACACCTCATCTACAGAGAGCAGCAGGGCTGGGATAGCTACTGAAAAATTAGTAGTTATCTACTTTGTAGCTACTTTCCCAAAATTTTTAGCTACTTTTTGAAAAGTATTGCGCTACTTTTTAGCTACTTTCAAAGCACAATTGTCAGAATGTTTGTGTACCTCCACCTGACACACCAAACAAGCCCAACTGACAGTGTGAACAAGACACTGCATTTCATCATGTGCCAGAAAGAATCGCACAATTGAAAAGCTGCAAATATACAAGAAGATCACCAAAAAGTGAGTTTAATTGTAACCAACAATCAAACTTACACAACCAAAGGCGTGATATCCAACAAGAATGTATACTAAGTAAAGGCAAAGTCAGTCATTCCAGGTTTTTCCTAACAAAAATCCACAAAAATACCTGAATACAAACCAAACAGTTGTGTGTGAAACATTGTCAACTGTTGAAATAAAACTGCTCCAATTTAAACATTTCAGCCAGATCTGTACAGACATGACATTCAGAGTCCCTTGTTAAACTTCAGCAACACTTTAGCCTCGAAACTCTCATCAGTGACGCTGACTCTGCGCAGTACTGTTAGTAATAATCTATTATGAAAATGTCTTTTCCGCTTCAGCTAAGCCAGGGGTCGGCAACACGGCTCTTTCACTGCCCTGTTGCGGCTACAAAAAGTAGCGCGCCGCTTAGCTACTCCCCCATCCCTGGTGCCCAGTTTCTATTTTTCTTGCTGAGGAGAAAAACATAAAATATAAAATGTGCTATAACTGTGAAACTATGTTCACTTATTTACACTTATAAAGCGCTCGGTCATGGCATTTACGATCATTTTAACTCGGGCTGTCAACGAGTGGTCAATATAACTATAGAACTGTGAAACATTGACCTTATAGAGCTTCAATAGCCGGTCATTTCACCAGCTCTTTAATTTTTGGTCATATAATCATGAATGTATTATAGCTGTCTGCCAGTCAGTGTCAGTCTAAACAAAGGCAGGTTCTTCTGTAGAACATTTTAATATGGTTTTATTTACTTCGTATAAAAGCTGATTAGGGCTGGACGATTTCAGAAAGATATTGTGATTTTTCTGATCAGTAGTGCGATTTTAAATTGCGATTATTGTCTCTGAATTAAACTCCAGGCTGGTTATTTTATCCAAGAAGACCAGCACACTCGCCTTTTCTGGCTCGAGGCTTGAATGTAGTGTGCCAGACTGCCAGTTAGTTGTGGTTTTGTTGTCATGGTGACAGCATATGAGTGTTTGGTTGCTTCTGATTGATATAACTCAGTGGTTCCCAAAAATACTGACATTAGTCTTCATTTAATTACACAGGTATTTCCCCGATACGGGTGACACAGCATCCAGCACATGGCAAAGCTGTGATGTAATAGTTTTTTTTTTTCTTTTTTATTATAAAAGATGACGAACATGTCGTACTCCAGCTCCCTCGTGTGAATGAGTTATTAGATAAAGTGAGTTATTCATTTGGAGCTGCTGTCAGTTGTTATTCTTTAGCATTTTGGATACGTCTTTGTTTTTACTTTGTATTGTGGAGCACTTTGCTGCTTTTTTAATGTATGAACGGTGCTACAAAAATAAAGATTATATTATTGTTATTATTAAATGCTGCTCTGTGTTCTAGCGCTGTTAAATGCTGAGCAGATGTTACTGTGATTTGTGATCTGTGGCTTTTTACAGCCGCAGACTCTCCCACACAGACAGCATGTGCATTTGATGCTGCTGCCCTTGTGATTATAAATGAAGAAAGTCCGGTTCTCTGACAACCCGAGAGTGAACCACACCTATACGTCAGTAATAGAGTATCACACAAGCCTTCTGAACATTCATTTCATAAAGTATTTTTCATTTTTTCAAGTTGTCATCACATCATAAGCATGCATCTACACCGACCGGCTGCTTCATTAAGACCATTTCCTTGTTTCTACACTCACTGTCCATTCTATCAGCTTCTCTGACCATATAGTTTCACTCTGTAGTTCTACAGTTACAGACTGTAGTCCATCTGTTCCTCTGCATACTTTGTTACCCTGTTCTTCAATGGTCAGGACTCCCACAGAGCAGGTATTTGGGTGGAGGGTCATTCTCAGCACTGCAGTGATGCTGACGTGGTGGTGGTGGTGGTCTTGCTTTTCATTTCAGTGCCCATGTTAACTGGTCAATGCTTTCACACAGGCTGCGCTTGCGAACCGGCAGAGCGTCCCAGAGAGTGTCCCAGTATTTAGAGAATAGACCCGTGGCGTGTGCGCCATGCACCTAAATACTCTAAAGTGAGCCATGAAAATCAGTGAAACTTAAATAGAAAACCATATACACAAACTTAAACACCTATTTTTTTTTATTTAATTCATTATGAAATACTAGTTAAACCGTCTGTGCTGCAAACAGATTTCCCGGCTCGTCCCCCAGGCTTAAAACTTTGGCCTAATCATGTTAGAATGCTGCCGAGGATAAACAAATATATACTATGCAGTTTTATAAATTGTTTTTATTAAGCAGAGTGACTGATGTGACCATTTATCCATCTGGAAAAGGGAACGTTCGTGTATCTTTCTTGCTGCTTCACTCCGCAGCACAAACACTGTGTGTGAAAGGCCAGCGTGCTCCAGCTGTAGCGCTCACGCCACACAGAGGTACTATGCGTGAATTAGGCCATACTATGTGTTGCGCTGGTACAAGTGGATCAGACACTAATGACTGAACTCATCTACAGGCAGTTCTCCAGATTTGTGCATTAATACAGATTTCAGGTGATGCTCAGAAACGTGCTTATATCAAGTATTTTACAATAGATTTGAACGTGGCTCGGCCAATCAGATTTCAAAACCAGAACTACCTGTTTTGTGATTGACATTTTAATGGGCCTCTCTTTGATTTTAGGCTTGCCAGCTATCACCAATTAAGTGTTTGTGTGTGTGTGTGTGTGTGTGTGTGTGTGTGTGTGTGTATATATACATACGCACACACACACACACAGAGGGTGTTTCAAAAAGATTAATCCGATTGCAAAACGCCATATTTTTACAACCGTGAGGTGCCTAGGAACCAATCACATACCAACTGAAAGAGGGGGTCATAGAGTGTCTGACTGTCACCACAAGATGGCTCCCTTCAGTCTGAGAGGAGATTTGCGATAACACACGACCTCGAGTGTTCTACTGCTCTTACAAACCATTTAAATAAAAAGTAATAAATTAATAAACTGGGCCGTCAACGCGGCGTTTAATGTTTTAATGTTCGCAGTTCCTTCACCAAATTATATTTCCTTAACAAGCAGCTTGTTGCCATGTCAGAGTAACGAGCTCCGCCCACTCGCTGCACAGTCTGCTGTAAGCCTCACCTTTTGAAGTACAGACTGAGCCATAAAACTGCTGCAATATCAAGTTCAGCTCAGTTTTTGCCAGATCAGTATTAATGTTGTTTTGTTCCAGCCAGTCTGTAAAGCATCTTACAGCCCATTTAGTTTGGCGAATGGTGTTGGGTTCATTTCTGGCTGATTCCAGGTTGTTCAGCTGTTCTTCTGTCACAGCTGCCGACTGAAAAGCTGCTCAGTGGTGATGACAGTTTGGGAATTTAGTGTCGTCTCATCTTCAGAGTCTGACCAAATCGGCTGTCGGTCAAATGTGATCTTAACAGTGTCCATTTTCTGTTTGTGGCAAAGTAAGAAGAAAAAACGTTCAAATGTCTTGAGCGTCTCCTACAGCTGTCACAGTCGTTGCTTAGCAACTTCTCATCCAATCAGCTTGTGTGGCTGGAACTAACTGTTGTGTATATTGTGTCTTGGTATTTCCATTATGCACTTGACCTGCTAGACCTGGATGTTTGACTTTGTGCTATACAAATAAATTTGAGTTGAAATTAAATCCCGTGAAGCTCACAAATACTAATATCTACAAATAGATATTACTTAAATATTCAGACTGAGCTCGTTCTCTCGTCCGCAGGGTCAGGTGGAGAGCATAGCGGAGCACGGAGTCTCTAAAGCTGTGAGCAACGGCCCCAGCGCCAATGGAGAGGAGCAGAAAAAAGCAGCACGAGCTTCCATAGACACGTCCCCCAAAGCCAGTGGCGAAGGCGAGGGGGCAAAGCCCGCCGTTAACGGACTCTCCTAAGCAGTTTGGTCTGTTCTTTTTTTTTTTTCCTTTCAAAAAGTCGTAACCTTTACATTTTTACAATAGTGCTTGTACAAGCTTGCCAAAGATAGACATACGGACTTCCAGATTCTCTACTGCACTTTTCCGTTCCTTCACCGTGGAACAGGTAGGAGGGGAGGCAAGAACTTATTAAAAAAAATAATAAAATAAATAAAAAAGAAGGAAAAAAAGACGAGCCCTGAAGAGACAAAAATGAAACTTGATTCACACCTAAAATAAGTTTAAAGAACACGTTGAGATGTTGTGCCTTCAGAGAGTAGTGTGACCGTTAAAGCGGCTGGCTGTAGGAATAAAATACAAACCGTCGTGCGAAGATCCCGGCTGTCCTAATGCTCAACGAGGGGAGTTAGCTGCTTTTTGTTTTAATATGCAACCACTTCATACATTTGGGGAAGGAAATTAGGAAATGCAGTCTGAAAAAAAAAAAAAAGGATGTTTTTGCACTGAATTGTAATTTCTTTCCCTTTAGAATAATGTTACTCTGGAAACTGGTCTGTTTGTTCACTTTTAAACGGCGTATGAAAAACACTCCACATCGGAAAGATCGAATTTATTCTGATTCATCGCCTGTCGGGCTGTAATGACAGTGACTGTTCGGCAAAACGAGCCTTGTTTTGGGTTATTTATTTTCAAATGTACAGTATTTAAAAGAAAAAAAAAACAAAAGCAGTTATTCTTTTAACACTAAACTGGCTGCCTGAACGTATTTGCACGCAGGTGACAATTTGGACTACTGAAAGATCAACTTCCAGATTTTCTGTTCTGTAAACTACGTTTGTGAGTCCTTATTTTCTTTCTTTCTTTTTTTTTAAATGATCATTCTGGTTGTTTGATGTGCAATATGTTTTGTATGCAGGTAGTTCTTGAATAAAATTTTGATCTTCCAGCCAATCTTTCCAGTTATTATCATTATCATTATTATTATTGTTGTTGTTGTTGTTATTATTATTATTATTATTATTAATGTAAGTGTAAGGGTAGATTGGCATATTTTGTAAAAATGAGAGAAATGAAACTTGTGGTACAATAAACGATTTTAATGATCACAGAACTCAAGTGCAGACAGGGCTCAATCAGTGAGTATGTAATAAACTATTTCTTGGCTTGACCGTCAAGTAAATCTTTAGCTTCGTTTATTTTTGCTGCAAGATACGGAGATCCACCTGCCGAGGGGAGAAGACAGTGAAGGTTCTCAGTTGTTTCAAGTTGCACAAGTTTCAAATAAAACTTGGGTCTAAAAGTTAAAAGATGCATCATGTTCTTAACTGTCATTAGTTCCCTTCATAAAGCTGTTATAAAATGCTGTTCTTTGCTAAAAGTTAGTTTTGGATACATTTTGTGCACATTTTTGTTGTTCTAACTATAAAGGTGCCAAAAAGGCTTTTTGCACAATGCTGTAAAAGAACCATGTTTGATAGTATATGTAACATTTTTAAAGTTTTGAAAACAAGGTAAAGGTTCTAGATAGAAAACAGTAGAGAGCCTTAACATTGTAAAGGTTCTTTTAAACCTTTAAAAGATTCATACACTCCATCAAACATGGTTCTTTGAGCAAAGCCATAGAAAAAACACTTTTGGTTCCTAGAAGAACCATGTTTGATATTGTATGGAACCTTAAGTTTTTAAAGAACCTTAAAAAGTTAAAGGTTCTAGATAGAGAGCAATAGAGAGCTTTAAGGTTTTTTTTTTTAAAAGGTTCCATACACTATAAAACATGGTTCTTTGAACAATGCCATAGAATTACTATGTTTGATACTGTATGGAACCTTATGAAAGTTTTGAAAACTTAAGGTAAAGGTTCTAGATAGAACTGTAGCGAGCCTTAACATTGTGAAGGTTTTTTTAAACTTTTAAAACACTCTATTAAACGTGTACTTATGGAACCAAAAGTGGTTCTTCTGTTGCTTTGTGCAAAGAACCCATTGGCATCTTTTTTTTAGAGAAAGAAGTTATCAGCATGTCATCTGCAATATTTCACAGATAAAAACTATAGGTGGACAATATCGGCCGGTACCGGTCAGGCTGTTTTTAAGCCGGGAGACGTTCTTACCTCGGTCAGGATGATTTAGAACCATAAGCTTTCTGTGTGCCTCTCTGAGCTTGTTTTTGTTGGCAGTGGGACTAAAAGGAGGAGGAGGAGAAATACTTTAATATTCACCCAGCGCAGTGGTGCACATACACATCCAACACATCACCTGAGATACCTGACTCCAAGAATAAGAGCAGCTTCTCTCTTCGTCATCTTTGGTTCAAAACCTCCTCTGTAGAAACCGCTTCCGAAAGCCTGCAACAGTACATTAAACAGCCTTTGGACTGGTTTCTGATACGAACATTAACGAGAAAATTTCTGCCTAATTAAATAGTTAAGATGTAAATAAAACTTCTTAACAGAAAGTTATTCCAAGAAATGGTTATGAATTCACTGCCTGATGTCTGAGACACTGTTTTATCATAGTATTGAGAAGATTTTGGCCTAGAATTTATTTTTAAGGCCATGAGAGTTACATGCATGTAAATAAATAGTAGAAAAACGAAATGTATATATTTGTTGTAGTCACGGCGACCCCTGGTTCCTATCACCACCACTGTAAAGACATCTGAACCATTTCACACTAAACCACTCTGAATCTCTCTGTTTACATCTCACACACTGAATTATGGAGAAATTTTGCTGCATTCTTCTAAACAACATAAAAACAACACGTTTATTTGTATTCATTCTCATTATACATCACGTTTACTAGCAAAAACACATTTGCTGACAAAGATAAATAGTTTTAAAAAGGTTTTCAGGGCTACTTAAAACATTTGCACATATCCTTTTTAGTAAACAGTGCATTTCCAGTATATTAAGTCACTATTGCAATGTTCAGAATGATCAAAAACACAAGTAATTGTTAATATCAGCTATAGTGGGCTGAGTAATGCTTAATTTATAATTTTGGAATTGGGCCTCATCTCACCAGTTTAGACTGTTTTAAGAGAAAAGTGGTGCCAATAGATGCTGTAATATGTACATATGAAAGCTGTGAGCTTCACTGTAGGAGGGATTTGAGACAGTTAAATCGTATTTGCTCATATTTGGGACTTTATGGTCAGACTTTCTTATTACAGCCATAATTTCACCCCTCATTTTTCGATCATCCTTAAAACCACTTTTCACCCTTTTTCCCTTTGTATGAAAATTAGGCACTAGACAGAACCGTCACTTGTGGCAGGTAACTCAGAAATTTAATTTCTGTTTACTTCTTTTTTTTATTATAATCCTACATTTACTTTTTAATTTAATTATTTAAGCATCCTAATTTAATTTCTATGTAATGATTTTCTCTTTTAAATTTGTTTTAATCATGCATTAATTGGTCTTAATGGTGTTTTCAATTATGTTTTCACTTTTTTAAACAACTTTGTATTTTCTGACTGTACGTTCTCATTTGTAAAGCACTTTGAATGACAGCCGTGTATGAAAGGTGCTATATCAATAAACTTGCCTTGCCTTACATCTCAACCACTGAAGTTATGCAAAAATTTTGAAAAAAATTTGGTGGATTTCCACTTTAAGCCTGCAGGGTTTAAATGGTGAAACACCACTGACATTGCAGTTTAGTCCAAGACTAGTCTTAATCAATGTCTGCACGACTGGGCCGTTAAGTTGAAAGAGCACTCTTCAGTATCTTAAACGAGAGAGAGCTGCTTACAGTTTTAGGAAAAGCCTGGAGAGCTTGCTTCACTTGAGGCTCCATTTGCCTCATGGCCTGCATTGCGTAGCGTCCTGCATAAAAGAATCAAGAAATACAGCAACTGTGGATCACTGGAGACAAAAAATATGCATGTCCTTATTTTCTGATTAAATAATCCTTTTTTCAGGTTAAATTCAAATGTTCTTAATTCCTGCAAACCTGCAAATCCTGCTGCTGCCAAGGCAAGGCCCACGGCCACCGCGGTGCTGGCCTGGAAAAGAGACACAAACAATACGGCTTGATTACACCGTCTCATTAATGGAGAGGCAATTAGCATAATTCACCCAAACAGGCATGACAGGTCCCATCACAGTTATGGCAAATTCAGCTCATCTCATTTACCGGTGTTCTCCCTAAATCTAGATAGGTTCTTAATAATAATAACCAGGACATACAGAGAATTTTATGCCCTTCTTCAGTGGAACAGTTAGCCACCCTGTCCTGCCAGGGGTGAACTTTTCAATCAGGGTAGGTTAAATCCTTGATGCCTCATCATATTTCTGCTGATTTTACTCTGCTGGGTACTTAAAGGGGAATTCCAATGATTTTTCAAACTTTCTGCATAAACAGAGAGATTCAGAGTGGTTTGGTGTGAAATGGTTCAGATGTGTTTACAGTGGTGGTGATAGGAACCAGGGGTCGCCATGACTACAACACAAATATAGACATTTTATTTACTATCCAAAACCACCAGTGAACCTACACGAGTCTTCTGAGTTTATATGGGATGTTGATGATGGAAAATAGTGGAAAATCTGAAATAATAAGTTTTCTTTGGGGACTATTTTGCCTCACAGCGCCCTGCATGTATCCCTCCACCATGAATGGATAAAAAAAATACATTTTAGCCCCAAATCTTGTCAAAACTATCATAAAACAGTGTCTCAGTCATCAGGCAGTGAATTCATAACCATTTCATGTAGTAACTTTCTGTGAGGGAGCTTTTAGAGGTGGACGTCTGGTTCCTATCACCACCACTGTGAACAGTTCTGACTTGGTAAGTTTCTCTAGAACAGAGCGTTTCACACCAAACCACTCTGAATGCCTTTTTACATCTTGACCATTTAATTATGCTTAAATTTTGAAAAAATAAGCGGGAATTACTCTTTAAAACGAAACACCCCAAAGATAGTTCACTTTTTTTTTTTACATTTTGCAATTCTTAAACAAAGTGTGTTAATATATCATGGAAGAATTTAGAACAAAGTCCACAATTAAATTAACAACTAAATGCAGGATGCAAAATGCACAATATGAGATTTTGGAACATGCCCCGAATTCCCATGATCGGCCTGAATTAATGCTGGATGATACAGAGAAACTGATACAATATCCCCCCTCTGTATTTTCTCATTTGTGAAGCATTTTGAATGACAGCTGTGTATGAAAGGTGCTATATAAATAAACAAAAATAATGATTTGTCGATGTCTTGAAAACAAATTCAACAGAAAAAAACCTTACACATGCTATAAACGTCAATCAAATCACATTTCCAGGATCTGATTGCATTCAGCCACAAGGATGCTGGAAAGTGTGGGCTAGAGGGGTATAAAGCCCCCCAGCATTGGGCTGTGGAGCAGTGGAACTGTGTTCTCTGGAGTGATGGAGCTCCATCCAATACCTTTGCGATGAGTTGGAGTGATCCAGAACTAACCATCCAACATCAGTACCTGACCACAATAATGCTCAATCAAATCCTCACAGCAATGTTCTAACATCTAGAGCCTTCCCAGAAGAGTAGAGGCTGTAACTGCAGCACAGACTCACTATTAATACCCTTCATTTCCAGAGGTGGACAGTAACGAAGTAAATGTAATTCATTTCTGGACTTAAGTAGTTTTTTCCTGTATCTGTACTTTACTGAAGTTTTTCCATTTTGGGCGACTTTTTACTTTCACTCCACTACATTTCAAAAAGTCAGATATCTCACTTTTTACTCCACTACATTATGAGAAATCTGTCGTTACTTTTGGTTTATGTGTGCATAAAAACATAACATGTCAAAACGAAAGAAGCGCAAAGCAACAACACCAATCAGGGCACAGCGGTCACTTTGTTTTGAGCTTGTTTTGACCTGTTGGTCATACCGACCCAGTGCAGCACACGGTTCAACATCAGTGCAGCAGCGTAAAATTTTGGGAGTGTCTGTTCAACATAAATGATGAACCAACCTAACTTTGTGTAAATAGACCACAATATAGAAATATGTACACATATGTAGTTGTGACTGACGTGTCTTTTTCTGAATTTACACAAACACATTTCATTTTATAGTTAATTTTGGCTGAGTTTAAAGTCTTTATTAAATTTAAACTTGTAACTAAGTTGCAAATAAATCTTAAACTGAAACTTTGCTGGTTTGTAAAGTGATTTCAGAGCCACTCAGTTCTACCTGATGGAAACTGTTTGCCTTCAGTGTTTTGTGCTGATGATAATTTTAATAGACATCAGCGTCACTAATTAATGACTCTATTAAAAGACTGGTTTACCAAGAGAGACACTGGAGTATTTTCACCTAAAATGAGTTAATGAAGCGAGTCTTGTTACAAAAATGATAACAGGACATCAGAGTCATAATTAATCTTTTAGTACTTTCACTTTTGATACTTAAGTACATTTGAAGGAAATACTTTAGTACTTCTACTCAAGTGGAGGTCTGAAGGGAGGAACTTCTACTTTTACTGCAGTAATATTTTACCTTGGGTGTCTCTACTTTAACTCAAGTACATGGTTTGTGTACTTCATCCACCACTGTTCATTTCAGAAGAAACACTGGATGTCTACAAACTTTTAGCCACGGTGAGGATTTGACCTTGGAGATAATAACAACAAACTTAACTCACTCAGCACTTTTAATACAGTCCAGCTGCAGCACAAACCAAGACAGCAGGCAAAATAAACGATTTTGTACTTTATCCACGAGCAGATTTAGGAAACTGCTCTAAAGTGAACACAGTCTGATAGAGAACTCGGACAGAAATGACCAGCTCAGAAACTTCAGCACTGTCTGGTTAAGCAGATCCATCAAATATGTATATTTAATAACAGCAGCTGAATAATTAGCTCTGTATGATGTTTCAACTGTCTATAATTAAGCTGTTTTATGAACCTATATTTCGCTACGAGGCTGAAATCGGCTTCTTGTATTTCGAATTTTCCGGTCCACCTTAAATGGTGCAGCAGTGCACTCTGGCGCTTGAGGCGCCGGGCTGTAGCTAATGCAGCATTTAAGGTGGACCGGGAAGTTCGAATGAGCTGAAGCTAGCAGCTATTTGTGACGAACGGAGAAAGCTGCCTACCATCTTCCCCGCTCGGATCCTCCGCCCTCCGCGTCCTGAAGCATTAATATTGGCTTAATAATCAGATTAATCAGATTAAGGCCATAATCCGATGCTCCGCGCTCGCGCTCGGACTTTTGCACTGTTTGTTTCTTCTGCCGGAAAG